TAAAGCCAGGGGATAAAGCCAAAGGGTTACACCAGATGTATAGGTAACTCAGCAAGGCATGGAAGCAGGAGCCACTTGGGCAGGGAGCAAGGGAGCAGTTGGATTGGTGCAGAGGGATTCAGAGGGATTCGGGCAGGCAGTTATGCATGGACTCCTCAGATCTACACTGCATATCTGGTGCTCAATATCAGGAGCTAAAGCAGGCCTGCAAGGAAACACCAGGGATTCAGGCCAAAGCATAAAGCCAGGTATGTCACAATATGTGGGTAAAAATGGGGCATGAGGACATGAGGAGCTACAGGTGCAGCTACTAGGGGCATGGGCACACTGGGCAGGAAGGTAGGGCTGGGCCCGTTACATGAAACAGTCCTATAGAGAAGAGGAATTGGGCAGAGGCTTTCTGAAAAGCTGTGAGCCCGGATCCTGCAGTCCACATTTTACACTGGCTGAGCAGTCAAGTAAGTAACTAAGTTCTGATGAGTAAGGTCATATGGGAAGACCAAAGCATGCATAAAATAAGGCCAGGAGTGTATGTGCAGGCAGGTAGTCATGGGGTCTAAGGCTTGGGCAGCCACAGGAGTGATAGGGGCACGTCCCCTCCAGGCAGAGGTATTGGGACAGAGAGCTTTGGCCAGCACCTCAGTCCGAAGCACAGGTTATTGGGGCCATGTCTTTACCCACTAGTTTAATTTCTCAGCTAAGTGAAGCCTAAAAGGGAAAGCCAGATAGAAAAGCCAAATCCTAAGGCCAGATGTCCACAGGTGGCTAGGTAGGAATGATCTATATGAGCATCTAGTACATAACACAGGGCAGGGTGCCAGGGGTGGGGACAAAGGGCAGAGGGGCCAGTGGTGGGCCAGTGGCAGGGGCCTTTGGCCAGGCAGTTAGGCCTGGATCTGTTAGGGCAAGACATGAAGTACATATCTCACTCAGGCCTGGTGGCTAGGGCCAGGGGTAGGGCTGGAACACAATGTCAGGGGTGTACAATGAGGTGAGGATGGCACGGTCCCAAGGGCTCTGGGCACTAAGGGCATGGGCACAAGGACATGGGAGCAGGGGCTCTAGGGACAGGGCTTCTGGGAAGCAGGTACAGCAGGCAGGGGCTTTGACCAGCTTGTTCTGCATGCGTCACTGCTGTCACTTGAACTTGCTCAGGTCAGGAGCAAAATAAAGTCCTCTAGGTCCAGCCAGGTGTGAGGGCAAAGCATAAAGCTTTTATATAAAATGAGGTGGTAAGGTAAGAGATTTAAGTGGATGCCCAAGCAGGGCATAGGGACCTAGGAGCAGGGGCACTGGGGCCAGAATTTCTGGCCAGGCCATTAAACATAACTACGTAGACCAAGACTTTAACCTTGGTGATTCAAGTCAGACCTAAATAAGCCCTAGTGGGTAAGGTCATATGGTAAAGCCAAAGCTTAAAGACCACTGTATAGGGAGGTCAGTGAGTCATCAGATCAGTGGGCTGTGGACACTCAGGGAAGGGGCTGGGGAGGGTAAGGCACAGTGCGAGCAGAGGGCAGTGAGGGAAGGTGTACCTGGCCCTGGGCTCACAGACACATGGTGTTACAGGAGCTCCTGTTGTGTAGCAGGGGATTTAGAGCAAGAAGTTACAGTCAGGTGAGACTCTGAAAGGGTGAACTATATGGAAAACATGAAGGAGCCCAGTGTATAAGAGCAGGAAGCCAGGCATTTAAAGGTGGTGTATAACGCATGGGCTCTGAGGGCACAAGAAGCTTGACAAGGCCTCATAGGGGCACAGGTACTAATGCAGAGGTGGTGTAGCCAGGTGGCTTCTGACCAGGGCCATCACCTCAGTTGTTTCGGATTACCTAGGTTATGGCCTTGAAGTAGATAGATTCAGTGTCAGGAGCAACGTCAGCCTTGTGGCTAAAGCCAGGTGTTAGGCCAAATCCTAACTTCAGCTGGGTAAATGCAGGTGTAACGCATGTGGCCTCATGGGTTACTCTGCCACAGAAAGGGATGCAGCACACCGTGCAGGGTTGGCACACCGGGCAGGGTTCTGATGAAGGGATTGTGTGTGTGCTGTACTTAGCCCAGGAGCCTGTACTGGCAGGGTAAAGGTAGGAGTACAAGGGTGTCATGTGAAGCCCTGCGCAAGGCAAAAGCAAATAGCCAGATGTGTAGTGGATGGCAGGTAGGGCATCAGGTGGGGGTGTCACCAGGTAGGGGTGTCACCTCATAGGGACAGGACGGGAGGCTCCAGCGGTAAGGCTTCCTGAGGCAAGGTACAATGGGGCAGCATGTAGGGGAGCCACCTCAAATATCAGAACAGGCAGTGAAGTCTGAACTATTCAGCTGAGGATTTAGAATTGGATGGTGAAAATCAGGAGCTGTGGAAGGCCTCATGGGAAGAGGCAGGTTGAATGGCCAAAGCATAAAGGCAGCTGGTAATGAAACTGGCTAAGCTCAGGCATGTGTGACCACGGGGAGCTCGGGCCAGGGTCATTAGGGACCACGGCCAAGGGACAGGTTGATTCTCAGCCCAACTGTTAGGCATGGATCATTTAGGCCCAGGGTTTAAACTAAATGAGAAAAATCAGGAGTGAAATAAAGCTTGGGGAGTAAAATACAAGATCTCACGGAAAGGGGCACTAAGGACATGGGCACTGGAGAAGGGGGGGCAGTGGCGTTGGGATATTGAGGTGGGAGCCCTTGGCAAAGTCATCAGGGATGGATTAGAAAGGCCAAGACTGGCCTGCTTGAGTAAAAGTCTAGGGGTAAATTAGGTGTGGTGTTAGGACACAGCAGGACAGGTGTGCGTAGGTTGTAGAGTAAGGCATGGGAACTAAGCACATAGGCCACTGAGAGTGGGCCCCTAAAGCAAGGGGGCAACGGATCAGAGGTCTTTGACCAAGCAGTTAATCATGGACTCCTCGGCCAAGACTCCCTGGTGGGTGAGCAAAATCAGGAGCTAAAGAAGGCCTGGTAGGGAGAGCCAGGGTAACGACCAGGGTGTAAGGTCAGCAGTGCTAAGGAGAACAGGTACCAGAGTGAGGTTCCCAAGGGGTGTAGCATTAGCTTTAGGTGCTCTATGCACAAGGGAGCTATGGGGCAGGTAAGCTGGGCAGGGCTTTCTGAAAAGCTGTCAAGCCTGGATTCTATGGGCCACACTCTGCACTGTGTGAACAAGTCAGGAGGTAACTATGGTCTGTTTGGTAAGGCCACACAATAAGACCAAATATCAATCCATGTATAGTGAGGTAGGTGCATAGGCCATGGGGTCAGAGGGCAGGGTGCTGAAGGCAGCAGTATGCTCTGGGCATTACAGGAGCACTAGGGGCAGGGCCTCTGAGGGTCAGGGGTATTGGGACCAGGTGCTTTGGCCAGCTCACTAACAGTAGACCAGTGAGGCCAAGACTTTACCCACCCAGGTTAAAGTCAGGAGCTAAATGAAGCCAGGCATGGAACATGAGATTGGAAAGCCAAAGCATAACAGTTGTGTAAGGAATGCGTGTAGGAGTGGGGTCTATGGTCAGTTATACCTGGGCCAGGGAATTAGGGCTGGGAGTGCAATGGTAGGGGGCCATCTGTGTGGCAGAGACCTTTGGCCAGGCAGTTAAGCATAGACTCCTTAGGCCAAGACTTGAATCAGAGTGAAGAAGCACGCAGCTGGTGGTTAAAGCCAGGGGAGAGGCCAAAGCACAAAGCCACAGTGTACTAAGAGGTAGAATGGCCTGGGCTCAAGGACTTGGGATGCTAAGGGCATGGCCACAATGGACACAGGGTGCTGGGAGCAGGGATGTTAATGAGCAGGGGCTTCACCAGTTGTTAACCATGCATCACTTGGGCCATCACTTGAAACTTGGTAGAGGAGGCCAGGAGCAAGTTAAGGCCTGCTGGGTCTAGCCAGGTGTGAGGCCAAAGCCTGAAGCTGTTTAAACTGATGTCAGTAGGCTGAGGGCTTAAGAGAACACCCATCATGGGGACCTACGAGAGTGGTCACTGGAGCAAAGATCTTGGACAAGGTAGGTAAGTGAGGATGACATAAACCAAAATGTTAAACTGGATGAGCCAGTATCAGACCTGAAGTAGCTCTGATGCATAAAGCCATGTCCTGAGGCCAAAGCATAAAGCCAGTGGTATATGGGAGATTGGCGAGGCAGCCAGGGTAAGGACCAGTCTGGGAAGGGACAGTAGGGCAGGGCACCCTCAGGAGAAGGGGACTCCAGCATGGTGGTTCAGGAGCAGCTGGAGGGCAGTGGGTGCCTTAGTTCAAGCAGTTAACTATGAAATAGTCAGGTGAAGGTTTGAGTGGGGTGAGCATATTCAAGAGCCAAAGAAGCTCTGTGCCTAAGATGGTAACAGCAACACAGGAAGCCAGGTGTTTAAAGGTAGGTAGGTAAGGCATAGCTCTGAAGGCAAGAGGAGCTACGGGAAGGGCCCATTTGGACATAGTGCTAGAGGAAGAAGGGGTATGGACAGGTGGACTTGGCCCAGGGTCAGTACCCAGGTCATTAAGCTAAGTCCTTAAAGACGGTGAACAGAGTCAGGAGGAAAATAAGCCTGGTAGATAAAGCTAGGTTTTAGGTCAAAACCTAGAGCTAAGGCTGGGTGGATAAGGTCAGCAGGGTAAGGTCAGGTAGCAAGGGGTTGGGCAAAGCTGTGTGGGTAAAACACGAGTCCCCCTGAGTGAGGACTAGAGGGTGATGAGATCAGATGGGCATGGCTAGAGGTCAAGGCCAAATCTGTAAGAAGGTGGAGCAAGTGGCTATGGTCAGGAGTTACGGCCAGGTAGCTCCAGGAGGGTGAGTAAGGCAGACATGACTGAGCTTGAAAGCAGACCTGAGCGAAACCTAAGCAGTCTCCTTTCACTCAGAAGAGTCACAGCGTGTCCTCTCCGGCTTCCTTACCTTAACCGTCAGTCTCGGCCCCCATTGTCCTGACACAGGTACAGCTCCCTGTACTCTAGGTCCCCTTAATGACCTGAATGTCCTCACCTTCAGGATCCAGGGGAGTAAATGGGACACACTCACTCTTACCCTGGGTGCAGCGGCTCCCTTCTCATCTGCTCGCTCGATCAGAGTCAAAGTCATGGTGGCTGCAATTCTTCTGCAAGTCACTGATGCTCCTGGCTCTCCAGGGCGATCCTCATTTGGTACCAGGAGCAGGATGACTTCGTTGTGTACAGTCCTCATCACCACTAGAGCACGTGGAGAAAGACACACTTGGGAAAATGCACAGGGTCAGGCACTGCAGGTGAAGGCCTCAGTTGCCTCTGGTGGAAAATGGCTTCTGTCGGAGAGGGCAGTGGGGTTGGGTGGGGGCAGCTCTTTCTGTCAGCAGCGGCAGAACAAGTGGATGACATAACAGGGCCGGGGTCTGGTTTCTACCCATGCTCAATCCTGCCTCAGTGGAATCCTGCCTCAGTGGAACACCAGCAGCTCTGGCCCTGTGAATGAAGGACAGAGGGTGGGGATGTGGGGCACTCAAATGGCCCAGGACAGGGGAGCCATAGGAATCCTTTTTTGCAATCAAAAATACAGTGAATGCTGCTGCTGAGCACCATCCAGTGGAAAGACAGCCTGCAACACAATGCTGTGTCCTCATCCACTTATTCAGCAGATCTGCCAACATATGACATTGGCTCTTCCCGAAAGACAAAATGACCGTGAAAGAGAAACATTTTGAATCAATCCAGGACACTGAGGCAGCCACAACAGCTCAACTAAAGGGACTCACAAAAGAGGATTCCAGAGCTGCTTCAGAAAGTGGCAAGAGTGATTTCAAGTGAGGAGTACTTTGCGGGGGATTAATGAATGGTAATGTGCCTTTTGCTGTAATATATTTTTTTAATTTAAGCATCCACCGTATTTTTTTTGTCATACCTCATATTGTCATGTTTATTTTATTTATTTATTTATTTATTTATTTATTTTGGGGGGTATTGGGGATCGAACTCAGGACCTTCTGCTTGCGAGGCAGGTGGTGGAACCACTGAGCTAAATCCCTGGCCCCATCATGTTTATAAACCACACCATGTCGCTGCTCACCAAGAAGACCCATTTGTTCTATATACCCACACAGACAGTGTGACAAGAATGCTTTCGGCCAGCAGGAAAGCTCCTGCCAAGGCCGAGGCCCATCCTCATGGCCAGTGCCCACGCTGCACCATCCGCCTGTGCCTGGGAAGCCTCATCCCAGTGCCCACACCTGCCTGTCCATTTGCAGGTTTGCCCTGCGTGTCCCTCAGCTCAGATCCATCATCTCCACAGTCAGGCCCAGCTATGATGTGAACCTGGAGATGCAACCCAAGAAAACTCAACATATCACACACCACTCCGGGAGCCACTGTCCCTTTGCTTTGCTTTGGGGGAGAAATGTCTCTCCCGGCTCAGGGGCTGTGTCTCAGGCCATGCCATCTTGGCCCCCAGCCAGCCCTCCTTTCCAGAAGTGTCTCTTCCTCATCTCAGCCACTTGCTTCTTACAGTAGCTGCCTAGGGTCAACTGGCCAGGAGTGGCCAACTCGACTCTTGAGTAAGCCTCACAGGGGATGCAAGGCCCAGACTTTCTTCACTTCAAGTTTATGAGCCAAGTCCAATGGTAGTTAAAAGCCATAGGGACCAAGAAAGTAAAGGCAGGGAGTTGGCAATAAATTAAAGAGAATAGCCAGACATGATGGCAAACCCACAAACACCAATCTATTGACAGAAGCCAAGCACAGTGGCACACACCTATAACCCCAACACTCTGGGAGGCTGAGGCAGGAGGATTTTAAGTCAAACCTAGCCAGTTTAGCAATTTATGAGAACTTGTCTCAAAAGAAAAGACTGACCGTGTGTCTCAGTGTGATGCTCCACAGTTCGATCCCCAGTACCAGAACAACAGCAACTCTCTGCATCAAAAAATTATTGACAGGGCTGGGGATTTAGCTCAGTGGTTCTGCCGCCTGCCTTGCAAGTGCAAGGTCCTGAGTTCGATCCCCAGTACCAACAACAAACAAATTATTGACAAAAGTTCTAAGATCTTTGCTTCCGCTGTATGTACAAATAAGCATCATTTGGTTCTAGGAAAGTGTTTAAAATAAATTTATCTTACTTATGCTCATTAAAGTTAAGTTTCTGGCTGGGCTCCCAACCAAATAATCTAATAAAGAATTTGCTTGGCCCAGGATTTAGCTCATTGGTGCCAGGCCTGCCTCGCAAGTGCAAAGTTCTGAGTTTGATCCCCAGTACTGCAAAAAAAAAAAAAAAAGGGATTTTGCTGATTGACCGTGGTGAAGTAAAGAATCAACTAAATATAGCAGGAAACTATCTTACTCTTCCCCAAAAGGGAAAATTACTATTGCTTATTCCAATCTGTGGGTAACTGTAACTCCGCACTGAAATTCCACACAGCCTTTTTCCAATCTAAGATGCAGTACACCTACTTGTTCTTCAATCCTCACTGCTATCTGCCTTTAAAATGGACCAGTAACTACTGAGACATCTGAGCCCAAACAGAACAGAAAACACAGTGACTGTCAGCTTCCCTTCGTGCTTGAAAAACAGGGAAAGCTGTGGGTCAGGCAGAGAAAGTTAAAAGGTCTCAGAACTAAGCCCCCGCTAGAGAGAGAGTAGCTAAACCACAGAGAGCTGATAAGGCACCTGCCTCCTTTCATACCAAGGCTCAATTTCCTCCTCCCTCTATCTCCAGTTAAGCACAAAAGAAACAAAAGGGGGGGCTATATTATTTTTAAAAACTCACACCTAGACACTCACACACCTAAATATAAGTACACACACATATATATTATTCTCTCACCATATTAATAAACTAAAATGTGCATGTATCCTTTTTACTAATTCAGCCTTAAATGTAATTCTGCTACAAATCTCACAAGATAAGTATCTAGACAACACAAAGAGACCGCAGAAGTGCTTATCCAAAAATGTACACATAGGGAAAGGGAAAATGGCCAAATCAGGGGTCTCAGAGCCCCAAATAGCCAGTCAGTTATAACAACTCTCAAGCAAGATACTCCCTTTCTAGCCATGTGATAAAAGGGGCTGAGAACAAAGACCCCCATCCTGAGTTCTGCTCCAGACGCCCTACCTTACTTCAACAAGGTGGCTATCTATCTACTTATTTTCTCTCCTTTCCCCAATAAAATGGTTTTGCTTCCCCATTCCTTTTCCCTTTCCAATAAAGTGATTTTGTTTCTCCTTCTGAACTTATATCTCTAATTCTTTTATTGATACAGGGGTGTTGTTTTTTTACAGAGCCTAGATAAAAATCTACCATCTCGAGACATAACAGGAGTGCAACACCAACCTCCAGGAGAATTACAATGTTGTGTGGAAGGCTGCTCAATAATTCCAACACTCTTGGAGACTGAAGCAGCAGGATTGAAAGTTCCAGGTTACCCTGGGCAATTTAGTGAGACCCTGCTCAAAATAGAATAGGAAAAGTAGGATGAGCATTTAGCTCAGCACTACTTGGAAACAAACCCTAGTATTGTGAAAAGGGGGAGGGGTAAAGCTAGCAGTCATAGAGGTGGAGCCTCAAATAAATGACACTGCTGGTGACAACTACAAAGTGAATTAATAAACACACATGGGCCTGGAGGTGTGGTTCAGCGGGCTGGGATGCAGCTCAGTGGTACAGCAGCAAGTGTAGAGCTCTTGCCCAGAAGGCACCAGGCCCTGGGTGTGATGCTTAGTACCACAAAAAAGGAAAAGAAAAAAAACTTTAAGCCAAGCGCAATGATGTGTGCTTAAGTCTCATCTACTCAGAAAGCTAAAGCAGGAGAATCGCATGCAGGAGGCCGGCTGGGAAAAAGAACACTCTAACAAAATATTTTTCCCTCTACAGCTTTTGATGTGTTGTCCAACAGGCAATGAAAAAATAGTTGAAAAGCCCAAGTATGGCCTTGCACACTGGTAACCCCAGCCCTCTGGGAGGCTGAGGGAGGAAGGTCACAATTTTGAGCCCAAACTGGGCAATTTAGAGAAACCCTGTCTCAAACTTTAAAAAGTAAAAAGGGGCTGGGGATATAACTCAGTGGTGAGGGCCTGAGTTCAATCCCCAGTTTCACAAAAAGAAAAAGAAAAATCCCCAACCAGACAAGAAGGCAACTACAACCCAAAACCAAAACCCACAGAGCCAGATCAGTGGGAAGTGGGATCGTGAAATCTCCAGAAGTAAACTTGAAAATAACTATGATTAATGTGTTCAAGAAATTAAACCTCAAGATTGAGAATTTCATCAGAAAACTAAATACTGTAACGGCAACCTAAATACAGTTCTAGAACTAAAAATACACAACTGTACATTTGAGAGGGCAGCTAAAAGTGTCCAGTTTGTTACAGTCAGGCATCACTGTGCCTGACTGTAATCCCAGCTACGTGGAAGGCTGAGGCAGGAGAATCACAAATTCCATCCCATCCTGGGCAACATAGCGAGACCTGTCTTAATATAAAAAATAAAGAGTTGGAGATGTAGCGCTGGCTAGTGTTCCTGGCTTAGATCTCTAGTACCATATAAAGCAAAACAAACAAAAAGTCCAGTTTAAGCAGAGAACTAGGATGACAAAGATTTATGAGGGAAAGGGCATATGTGTGTGTGTATATATATATATATATATATATATATTTTTTTTTTTTTTTGGTACCAGGG